CTCCTCCTCCTCTCCTCCTCCTCCTCCTCCTCCTCCTCCTCTCCCCTCCTCCCCCCTCCTCCCCTCCTCCTCTCCTCCTCCTCCTCCTCATCCCTCCTCCTCCTCCTCCTCCTCCTCCTCCTCCTCCTCCTCCTCTCCTCCTCCTCCCCTCCTCTCCTCCCCATCCTCCCACCCTCCTCCTCCTCCCCTTATCCTCCTTGCTTCCTCCTCCTGCTCATTCTCCTGCTCCTGCTCCTGCTCCTGCTCCTGCTCCTGCTCTCTCCCTCCTCCTCCTCCTCCTCCTCCTCCTCCTCCTCTTACTCTTTCAGTTAACTTCGGAAGGGCATCGGCAGCGCTGCACAACAGGACGGTAGCCAGCTTTATTAATGTTTGCACCCCCTTCATTTTTGACTCATCCCGCAGTCACCAAGGCCAAACAAGTCCTCCTCCTACTTGCCCTCCTCCTCCTCCTCCTCCTCCTCCTCCTCCTCCTCCTCCTCCTCCTCCTCCTCCTCCTCCTCCTCCTCCTCCTTCTCCCTCGCTCCCTCCCGCGGGGGGGGGGGGGAAGAGGGACTCCCCGCGTGGCCCCTGGGGCCCGGGGGCGTCTCGTCGCATGGCCTCGGGCCCACGAGGAGGGCCCCCAGACGGGCCCACGAGGGCCCCAAGAGGCCCCCAGGACGGTCCACGAGGGCCCCGAACCGCCGCACGATCGCCCCAGGACGCCCAAGAGGGCCCCACGACGGCCCAAGATGCCACCCCCAGACGCCCGAAGAGGCCTCCAAGAGACCTCCCGAGAGAACCCCAAGAAGCAAGCATCAGTGATGTACCTGTATAAACATTTCAAGCCCTCGGCCCCGGGAGGCCCCCGAGAGGCCGCCATGAGCCCCCAAGAGGTCCCCGAGAGGCGCTCTGGAAGCCCGAAGAGGCGCCCAAGAGGCTCCCCCGAGAGGCCCCCACGAGGGCCCCAAGAGGCCCCAGAACTGCTCCCAGGAGGCCCTTCGAGAGCGCTCCGAAGAGAGCCCGAAGAGCACCCGCGGGGACTCTGACCCACAGCCCAGGCACGATGGCGGGAGGGGCCGAAGGCCATCAGCTTGTGAGCAGGTCTCGGGCGATGCGGCTGCCGGACTGGCCTGGGCGGTCTGGGGCTCCCAGCCCCCACTGCGAGTCCCCTCCTGCGGCCCTTCGGTACCCTGAGGCCCTGGCGTTGCAATTTGTGTCACGCGGAGCGTTTTCGCCCAATTTCGGGCCCTGGAACCCTCAAATATCGATCGGGCTCGGAAAATGGTCTGAAATATGCGGTCCAGGGCTCCGGTCGTGGTTATTCACAATGTTTTCTGCAACGTCGGATCTCAGGGTACCACTGCTGGACAAATCGAGCGAAACGCTATCTTGGAAGAACCTCCGAAGATTTCCGAAGCTCAGTGGGCCCGGGAAACAGCAGGGCCGTTTGTTTCACCGTTTCCGAAAAAGTATTTTGAACATAGAAACGCTAAAAAACAGCATCCATTACCCTGGCGACGTACACAACCCCTGCACAATGCGGGGCAGGAGTAGCTTGGGAGATTTAACGAGAAGGCGGCGACGTGACATGGACGCATATACTTCTGCGAGCGGCATTCGGAAGGTTCGCAGGACCTCAATCAAGGGAAACACGATGAGAAACTAAGAGAACCCCTGAGTCACTGAGGAAGACGCCAGGTCCAAAAGAAGACGGTGGGGTAGGCAAGGGGTTTGAAACGTCGGCGGGGCAGCAACAGCTTGACATGGCCCCCCGAGGACGGCGAGGCCCCGCTCAGGTCTGCGCAGTGCCTCACTCCGGTGGACCCACCAGCAGCCTTCGAAAATGGCGAGCCCACAAGCAGCCCTCGAAAGTGGCGACTAATTCGCAGATCGCAGCCCCCCAGGGACGGGGAGGTCCCGCTCAGATCCCCGCGGTGCCTCACTCCGCTGGACCCACCAGCAGCCCTCGAAAAAGGCGACTAATTCGCAGATCGCAGCCCCCCAGGGACGGGGAGGTCCCGCTCAGGTCCCCGCGGTGCCTCACTCCGCTGGACCCACCAGCAGCCCTCGCGCAGCCCCCCAGGGCAGGGGAGGTCCCGCTCAGATCCCCGCGGTGCCTCACTCCGCTGGACCCACCAGCAGCCCTCGAAAGAGGTGACAGTTTCGCAAATCGCAGCCCCCCAGGGACGGGGAGGTCCCGCTCAGGTCCCCGCGGTGCCTCACTCCGCAGGACCCACCAGCAGCACAACAAAGTGGCGACAATGTTGCAAATCGCAGCCACCCAGGGCAGGGGAGGTCCCGCTCAGCTCCCCGCGGTGCCTCACTCCGCTGGACCCACCAGCAGCCCTCGAAAATGGCGACAGTGTCGCAGATCACAGCCCCCCAGGGACGGGGAGGTACCGCTCAGGTCCCCGCGGTGCCTCACTCTGCTGGACCCACCAGCAGACCTTGAAAGTGGCGACAGTTTCGCAGATCGCAGCCCCCCAAGGGACGGCGAAGTCCCGCTCAAATCCCCGCGGTGCCTCACTCCGCTGGACCCACCAGCAGCCCTCAAAAATGGCGACTAATTCGCAGATCACCAGCCCCCCAGGGACGGGGAGGTCCCGCTCAGGTCCCCGCGGTGCCTCACTCCGCTGGACCCACCAGCAGCCCTCGAAAGTGGCGACTGGTTCGCAGATCGCAGCCCCCCAGGGCAGGGGAGGTCCCGCTCAGCTCCCCGCGGTGCCTCACTCCGCTGGGCCCACCAGCAGCCCTCGAAAGTGGCGACAGCGTCGCAGATCACCACCCCCCCAGGGACGGGGAGGTCCCGCTCAGGTCCGCGCGGTGCCTCACTCCGCAGGACCCACCAGCAGCCCTCGAAAATGGCGACAATGTCGCAGATCACAGCCCCCCAGGGACGGCGAGGTCCCGCTCAGGTCCCCGCGGTGCCTCACTCCGCTGAACCCACCAGCAGCCCTCGAAAGTGGACGGAGAGGTCCCGCTCAGGTCCCCGCGGTGCCTCACTCCGCTGGACCCACCAGCAGCCCTCGAAAGTGGCGACAATGTCGCAGATCGCAGCCCCCCAGGCAAGGCAAGGGGAGACAAGGAGGGAGGGCGGGAGGCGGGGGGAGGCGGGGGGAGGCGGGAGGAGGCGGGAGGAGGAAGAGGAGGAGGAGACGCGACCGCGGTGCTCTATTCAATTACCCTGGCGACGTACCCGAGCCTTGCGCAATGCGGGGCACAAGTACATCAAGATTGCTACAACGGGGGCGATGACGTAACGTGGACGCATGTGATTTTGCGAGCACCAATCGGAAGGCTCGCAGGCCCCCGATCAAGATCTAAGGGCTACGCAATAACAAATCACCCCCGTTGGCTGTGCCATGCGCCCGTTGCACCCAACGTATCCCACAGCAGCTCTTGAGAACCCCAGCGGGATACGTGTCGGCGCAATGTTATCGCCATCGACCGGCAGATGGTCTGTTTCACAAATCACCCCCGTTGGCAGTGCATTGCGCCCGTTACGCCTAACGTATCCCACAGCAGCTCTCCAGAGCCCCCCCTGGGACGGCGAGGTCCCGCTCAGATCCCCGCTGTGCATCACTCCGCTGGACCTACCAGCAGCCCACCAAAGTGGCGACAGTGTCGCAAATCGCAGCCCCCCAGGGCAGGGGAGGTCCCGCGCAGGTCCCCGCAGTGCCTCACTCCGCTGGACCCACCAGCCGCCCTCGAAAGTGGCGACAATGTCGCAGATCGCAGCCCCCCAGGGACGGCGAGGTCCCGCTCGGATCCCCGCGGCGCCTCACTCCGCAGGACCCACCAGCAGCCCTCGAAAGTGGCGACAGTGTCGCAGATCAGCCCCCCAGGGACGGCGAGGTCCCGCTCAGATCCCCGCGGTGCCTCACTCCGCAGGACCCACCAGCAGCCCTCGAAAGTTGCGACACTGTCGCAGATCACCAGCCCCCCAGGGACGGGGAGGTCCCGCTCAGGTCCGCGCGGTGCCTCACTCCGCAGGACCCACCAGCAGCCCTCGAAAATGGCGACAGTTTCGCAGATCACCAGCCCCCCAGGGACGGGGAGGTCCCGCTCAGATCCCCTCGGTGCCTCTCTCTCTCCGCAGGACCCACCAGCAGCCCTCGAAAGTGGCGACAATGTCGCAGATCGCAGCCCCCCAGGGACGGCGAGGTCCCGCTCAGGTCCGCGCGGTGCCTCACTCCGCAGGACCCACCAGCAGCCCTCCAAAGTGGCGACAATGTCGCAGATCACCAGCCCCCCAGGGACGGGGAGGTCCCGCTCAGGTCCCCGCGGCGCCTCACTCCGCAGGACCCACCAGCAGCCCTCGAAAGTAGCGACAATGTCGCAGATCGCAGCCCCCCAGGGATGGCGAGGTCCCGCTCAGATCCCCGCGGTGCCTCACCCCGCAGGACCCACCAGCAGCCCTGGAAATTGGCGACAATGTCGCAGATCGCAGACCCCTGGGCAGGGGAGGTCCCGCTCAGATCCCCGCGGCGCCTCACTCCGCAGGACCCACCAGCAGCCCTCGAAAGTGGCGACCGTGTCACAGATCGCAGCCCCCAGGGATGGCCAGGTTCGCGCAAGGCAAGAGGAGACAAGAGGGGAGCGGGAGACGGGAGGCGGGAGGAGAAGGAGGATGAGGAGGAGGACTGGAGACCGCAGTGCTCTATTCAAAGCGAATACCCAACCAAGGAGGGCTGGGAAAACGAATACCCAACCAAGGAAGGTTTGGAAAAAAAAAACAGCAAACAACGGCTCTGGAACTGGAACTGGAACTGGAACCAGAACCAACAAAAAAAACTGCGACGGAACCGGAAAAGCAGCGGCGCCGGAACAGGCAAAAAACTACACGACGGGACCGGTGAAAGAACGCCCGTGTCGTCTCCGGGACCCGCGAAAGCCCGAATGCCTCTGAAAGAACGCTCTACGGCGTTTGTCCTCTGGCGCTGCCCGACCTCTGCCGCACCCAACACCAGGGGGGCTGGGGCAGGGACAGCGGCCGGCGCCCGCGACCAGCCCCTGCGCGCCCATGGACATGGGCTGCCCGTGCATCACCTGGCCGGCGCGCCTCAGTACTCCTCCTCTTTCCTCCTCCTCCTCCTCCTCCTCCTCCTCCTCCGATTCCTTTGGGCCTTCGCTCTAGCACTCGCTTTGCGCGCATTGCTGTGTACTTCACCTTGCAGCACATTTGTACGGCTCACCCACGCGCAGGGCACAGAATATGGGTAGATGACTTGTCGCAGCGTGAAGTTGGGTCCAAAGTTTCGGTTGTGAGTGACCTCAATGTCTCAGAGATACTTGTCGGGGTCTCGCTAGATTGCATCTTCGTGTGGCGCAAAAGAGTGTTGTGAGGCGTTCGGTTTTCCAAGGATGCAGTCAAAGTGTCAAGAGCTCTAAGGCGCGCAGGCTTCACGGTCAAGGCTCAGAGGGCTGCTGCATATTTGGGCGGAGGAGGAGGAGGAGGAGGAGGAGGAGGAGGAGGAGCAGGAGGAGGGAGACGAGCAGCAGCAGGAGCAGGCGCAGCAGGAGCAGCAGCGGGGGGGGGGCAGCTCGCGTCGCCATCGCCGAGCCCCCGGCGCCCGCCAGCGGCGCGGCGCCGCCCGGCGGCGGAGGCTGGCCGCCGCCGCAGGCGCCGCAGGGGAAGAAGGCCGCCGCCTGGGAGCCTCCCGCCGGCAGCGGAGGATGGAGGAAAGCAGGGCTTGACCTAAGCCGTGTTTTCCGTTTTCGTTTTCGTTTGCGTTTTCGTTTTCCGTTGCTTTGTTTTCGTTCCGCCTGCTGCTGCAAAGCGAGAGCGAATCGAAAACGGCCCGTGAGATCGCTCACACACCGCTTAGGTCGCGCCCTGGAGCACCAAGCCGGGCCCGCTGGCGGCGCCAGGGGCGGTGCCCGAGCAGCCCCCCGACGGAGCAGCGGGGCCCACCTGGCCCCAGCGCCCTCGGGGGTCCCCTGCGGGGGCGGCGGGGGCCGCCCGGCCACGATGCTCTGGGGGGCCGGCGCTGGCGGCGGCCAGCTTGTCACCCGGGCCCCAGGACTAGCACCTCTCCTGAGAGGCCCAGGCCAGCGCGGGGCAAAGCGCCCCAGATCGACTGGACCTCGAACGCGGGAAACAAAAGCGGGCAGGATTGCGAGGACTGCTGTGCCGCAAGCGGAGGGTGATGATAGAGGAACACCAAGCGGTGCCAACAAGATGTCCAGGAGGTCCGCGCTGATGTCTTGGATCGGCGCTGAGCCCCCTCCCAAGCGCGCGGAGCGCGCCAGGGGCGGCGCTGGAGACATCGCCAAGGGGCCCGGCGTCGATCCAAGACCGCAGCGCGGGCATCCGAAAAAAAATGTTCATTCCTGTTTGCTCTGCTAGATGAGGAGCAGGAGTACGGGGACGATTGCTCCATCGCTGATGGGGAATGATGACGTGGGACGCCCAAAGCGGCAACGCTGCCGATAGAAACATGTCCACTCTGACGACATGTGCAGGGATCCACTGATCGCCATCACTTCACTGCCTGCCCTCTCCCCCTTTTCACCACACGCGCATCCCCGCTGTCCATGCTCGTCCCTTTTGAAAAACGTCACCGCGATGCTTCAAACATCCACGTTCAAACGTTGCTGCGCTCCTTACGATTGAAGTTCGCAATGCCCAGCCCTCCCGTTCCTACGGTCTGCGTAGACGGCTTCGGCGTACCACATCTGCGGCACTCGGGATTGCGCCTGCCACCCAAGGTGGACGGTGCGCAACAAGACGAGTGAACGAGAGGGAAGAGGCAAGAGTATGCAAGAACGTGCAATTACGAGCATCGAACTGAGAACGAGAAACGCTCATGCCATTGGAAGACTATTATCTTAACCAACGTCATCCCCTGCATCGTCCGAACAATGGATGTTGCTCGTAGTATCGGTATGGCAACCATCATCGGCATGACACCATCATCATTACCAACCGAATCAGCATTGCCGTCGACATTACAAGAATTGTCGTCATGCCTGCGCATACGCGCGGTTTTCATATTCATCCTCGCTACCCTGCTCTCGCGGATCGTCTGACCGCGGTCAGTCTAGACCCGGGTCAGTCAGGCATTGCAGGATCCTACAAAATCCTGCAGGAACACAAACCCGGGTCAAGGCGCCCCTGGCTCTGCAAGATCCTGCAAGATCGGGCGCTCTGGCTGACCCCCGTTTGCACTGACCCCCGTCTCTCGAGCCCCGAATCATCCTGCCCCTTTCCCTGCCCAGCCCCCGTGAGCGAAAGATGATCGTGCCATTGAGGCTATCCGCATCTGCGCACCCCGTGGGACAGCGCCCGCACTACGAGTCGGGATGCCCCCCAAAGACGCGTGCGCCTTAAGGACAAGCCCCAGCCACCAATCCGGAATTTCAAGGAGGAGGAAGAGGGGGGAGGAGGCGGGGGAGGAGGAGGCAAGAGGAGGTTCGAGTATGTTCGCCAGCGCTCGCATGTTCGCGGGACACGCGCGCCTCGCTCCTTGCACAGAATGTGGCTAGCTTCGCCAGCTGAGGACTTGTTTGACAGCAGCAGGATTACAAGCTACCTCAAACCCTGCGCACACGATAGAAGTGAAAAACGTCCACTCGTGTGAAGGAAACGTTCAGGGCTCGTCTGAAAGGACTCACTGGTGAGGGCCCCGCCTGTTCATGGTAAGCCTTCCTGATGAAAGTTATTGAAGTAGCGGGAGGATGAGGAGGAGGAGGAGGAGGAGGAGGAGGAGGAGGAGGACCCGCGAGGCATCGGGTCATCCCTCGACCGAACCTGCCGTCAGCCTCAGCCTCAGGAGACGGACCTCCGCCCCCCCCTCCCCTGAGGGGCAACGATAGGGGGGACTGACATAGGGGGGGATGCATCGACCTGGAATCGACGATAAATTGCCGATAGATCGGCGATAGGCCCCTGATACTGAATCTGCACCCTCCTGGGCAGGTTGGGGCTATCGGGCCCCTATCGGCGATCAATGGGGGATTGCGTGTCGATGCCTCCCCCCTATGCCCATCCCCCCCTATGCCCATCCCCCATCCCCGCCCCCCGGCGGCGCCCGAACTGGAGGTCGCTGCAGCGAGGGCAGTACCAGTCGCCTGGCCTGGGCGTCTCCATGTTGCCCTGGGCGGGCCCACGGCGCGGGCCAGAGGGCGGCCGAGCTCCCCAGAGAGCCGAAGCTTCGGGGGGGGCGTCCGCGAGGGGGGCGTCCAGGAGGAGGGCTCGGAGATCATGGCCCGAGGCATGCGCGCGGACGAAGGGGAATCACTCCTCCTCCTCCTACTCCTCCTCCTCCTCCTCCTCCGCCTCCTCCTCCTCCTCCTCCTCCTCTTCCTACTCCTCCTACTCCACCTCCTGCGCCTCCCCCTCCCCCTCCTCCTCCTCCTCCTCCTCCTCCTCGATGACTAGGGGGGACCAGGGGGCGCAGTCCAAGAAAAGGGGGGAGTCGTGAAAGCTGGGGAGACATCCTGAACCCCGCCGTGATACCCCCCCCCTAGTCGTCACCATTCTTGGCCGCCCCCCCAGACATATCGCCGGGTCGCAACTTCCCCGAACAGAGGCGGCACTCTAGGCTTCTGCCCTCTCTCCTGGGGTACCCGGGCCCCGCTGGCCGGCTTGTGACCGCCCGCCGCCGCCCGTCGCCGCCGCCCGCCGCCGCCACCTGCACTGGGCCCTGGTGTCGGTCTGGCCGCCTTGTGGACACGCGTCGCCGCCCCTCGCCGCCGTCCGTCGCCGCCACCGCTACCAGGGCACGTCCCGCCCTCGCCAGGGGACCAGCGCGTTGCACCGCATTGCACCGCACTGCATCGTGTTGCACCATGGCACCACACGGACTGCACCACCTAGATTGCACCACACGGACTGCACCACCCAGATTGCAGAGCGTACAAGTTGCAAAAAAAACACTGTTTGGGGTCCACGCGGGCTAACATGTTTGAAGTTCTGCCCCTGGAGGCCTCTTTCGGAACCTGGGAACTGTCCAAACACGACTCGGAACGAAGACCGAGTCCCAAAGGGTCCAGAACTCTGGGGCCCCAGGTACTCGTATCGGATCGGACTGCGCGTCGGACCGGGCCGCATCGGCACGGAACCGAAATCGAGTCCTGGCCGTCGGGTCGCCCGGAATCGATACTCCAGGTTTCGTAATACAAGGGAGGGGGTCTGGACCCTCCAAGACAAGCCATTTCAGACCTCCCCCGTGGGAGAACCCTCCAAAACATCGTCCCCAGACCCCCCAGGCCCTCCAAGATGGCCTGGAAGAGACCCCCCCCCGAAATGAGACCCCCCTCCCTTTATTACGAAATCTGGAGTATCGCATCGGATCGACCGGGTCGAAAGGTCACCCTGCCAGGGGGCCGACCGGGAGACTGCGAGCAGGACCCCACGCCCGCACGGGCGCAGGGCAAGAGCGAGAGCGGCGCTGCCTTCGGCGGCAATGGAGGGTCGCGGACGGCAGCGGCGGGAGCAGCTGGGGAGCAACAATTGCACACATGATTCGCTTAGCCACAGAAACATAGAGCGAGAAACTGGAGACAGCAGTGGCGAACCAAAACTAAGCACATCAATCAAACAAGAAATACTGCTCACTCAAGTGGTCGGGGGGTCACGGCAAGCAATGGAATCATTATGGAAAAAACGTCGGAAAATACCCTTTGCTCGTCAGCGCCTGGGCGAGTCAGCGCTGGCTGGCAGCGGCAGCAGCGGCGGCTCTGCCGCTTGGGGCGCAGCGGCAGCAGCGCTGGGCGGAGGCAGTGGCACCTCGCTCCTCCCGCGACGGCGACGACCCCAGGGTCTCAAAAAGCGGCCCCTCAGAGCTCTTCGGAGGCCTTCCAAAGACAGGCCGTGTGGAGGCCAACCAAGAGAGAAACAGGAGCGCATGGTAGCCAGCGTGGAAGCCGAGCAGTGCGTTATCTTGCGCGTGGGGGTGAAGGCTAGGCGGTGTAAGCTGTGTGGTGATAGCTGTGCTGTGTATGCTGTGTGGTGTGAACTATGGAAGTGGAAACTGTGCGGTGGAAGCTGTGGTGCAAGTATGCCGTGGAAGCTAAGCGGTGCGAACTGGAGTTGAAAGGTAAGAGGTGCGCAATCCATCACCATGCCCCGAGGCACGATTTGGAGTGTCCTCAGGTCCTTTGGAGCTCCCCGGGAATGAACAAGTACGAAGGGCCCAGCCCCCAACTTCGCAAATCTCCCAGGGCGCGTCGCGTGTCCCCGCGTATCATTGCGCGGTCCCGCGTGAGTTTTTCTGGGCCAGGAGGGCCTGGAAACGGGCCGTCGGGTCCCGGAGAGGCTCCAAGACGGTCCACGAGGGCCCCGAGTCGCCGAAGGATCTCGGCAAGACGCCCAAGATATCCTCCAGACGGCCCAAGATGCCCCCAAGACGCCCAAAGAGAGCCCAAGGAAGCCCCCAGAAGGGCCCCGAGAGGCAAAAAGCATGTTGGTGTTTGGCGGATGTGAGCGTCCTCGCCTTATCGGGCTTTCGACGCTCAGGGCGGCCCAAGGCCACCCAAATCGCCCCAAGACGGCCAAAGAGGCCCCCAAGAGAGCCCCCATACGGTCCCAGAGGGCCCCAGAAAGACCCAAAGACGGGCCAAGAGGGCCCCAAGAGAGGCACAAGAGAGGCCCCAGGGGGAGAGCACGAACTGAGACAGACCCCCGAGACAGCCAGCAGGCCCCCCAAAAGCCCAACATACGCTTTAGGAGGCCCCCAAGACCGTCTTGAAGACGCACAAAGCAGGCCCCCAGAGGCCCCCCAGAGGCCTCCGAGAGGCCCCACGGCAACCCAAAACCGACGAGGCCTCTGACCAGCAACCAAGGCACAGTGGCGGAAGGGGCCAATGACCACTATAGATATGCGGTGTAAGCTATGTGACGCAAGCTTTGTGGTGTAAGCTATGTGGTGAAAGCAACGTCGTGTAAGCTCACAGACCGAGACGGCACCGATGCGGCACCAACCGGGCACCAGCCGAAACCCCGACACACCCACCCAGCGCGCGAGGCGGCACCGAAGCGACAACGTGACGACACCAACCAGGCACCAGCCGAAACTCCACCACACCCACCCAGCGCGCGAGACGGCAACGAGGCAGCAACAACCGAGCACCAGCCGAAACCCCGACACACCCACTCAGCGCACGAGGCGGCAACGAGGCGGCACACATCGGGCACCAGCCGAAACCCCGGCACACCCGCCCAACGCACGAGGCGGCAACAAGGCGGCAACGAGACGGCACCAACTGGACATCAGCCGAAACCCCGACACGCCCACCCAATCCCTCGGGTAACCGAAGTACGAACCCCTAAATGCAAAAACTGTTCTGAGAAAACATCAAACCTGGAACATCAACAACAACGACGAAGACGACGACGACGTCAATGACGACGACAACCACCACGACGAGTGCGACGACCACGACCACGAAGACGACAACGACAACGACGACGACGGCGGCGGCGACGACGAGGAGGACGACGACGACGACGGCGACGTTGACGACGACGACGACGACGACGACGACGGCGACGTTGACGATGACGACGACGACGACGACGACGACGACGACGACGACGACGACGACGACGACGACGACGACGACGACGACGGCGGCGGCGGCGGCGGCGGCGGCGACGGCGACGGCAACGGCGACGGCGACGGCGACGGCGGTGGCGGTGGCAGCGACGGCGACGGCCACGACCACGACGTCAACCGACAGTATCCAGAGATCTCCAAAGGTCCCAAAGGAGGTCTCCTGAGGCATCTGCAACTGCGGGGCCTGCAGAGGTTGCAAGAGGCCACCGCGGGCGTCCAGAGACCTCGACGCCACGACGCCTGGGGGATCTCCTCCTGCGACGAGTCCCCATGGGATCGAACCTCGGAGATCGAGCATCGCCTCGAGGCCTCGAAGACCGCCTCGAGCCTCGAGGTTGGAAGCGGCCGCGGGGTCTGCGCTGGGTGGGCCCCGAAGGGCACTCTGCCGAGAGCGGGAGCCCGAGGCAGCTGCGCGCAGGATCGGCCCCGTGACCCCTCGCGGCGCCGCAACGGACCAGTCGCCCGAGCCGCGTGCAGCCGTGGCCACGAGGGGGGCCCTTTCTGCCCCCCCCTCTCCTGGCCCCGGACCCAGCGCTGGGCCACCTCAGCCCCCAGCCGGCTCCAACCTCCAGGATCGCCGCGAGGCCTCGGGGGTCGCCACGACGGTCGCCCTCGGGGGCCGCGCCTGCGAGCCCAGCGGCGGCGGCCCCTTGTCGCGGACGGAGTCCATGGCCGCGCCCGCGAGCAGCTGGCCGCGCCTGCCATCCAAGGGGCCTCCCGCCAGCCAGCCCGCCTCGTCGTCGTCGTTGTCGCCGACGAGGCCGAGGAGGCCGAGGGGGAGGAGGAGGGGGAGGGGGAGGGAGGAGGAGGAGGAGGAGGAGAGGAGGAGGAGGGAGGAGGAGGAGGAGGAGGAGGAGGAGGGAGGAGGGAGGAGGGAGGGTAGGAGGGGGAGGAGGGAGGAGGGAGGAGGGATGGAGGAGGAGGAGGAGGGAGGAGGAGGGAGAGGAGGGAGGAGGAAGGAGGAGGAGAGGAGGAGGAAGGCGGAGGAGGAGGAGGTAGAGAGAGGACGAGAAAGAGGGAGAGGGAGAGGAGAGGAGGATGAGGAGGAGGAGGAGGAGGAGGGGAGTCCTTCCTCACTATTTTCCTCGTCCTTCCCCCCCTCTTCCCGCGCCGCAGCGCCTCGCGCTCTTCGGCGAGCCAGGCCCGGGGAACCGGGCCCGCTCGCGAGGCGACGAACACGAAGCGGGCTTGAAGCGACCTCCTCGCCCAGCCTTGCTCGCCCTCCTCGCCTATTCTTCCCGTTCACATGTTCAAGGCATGGGGTGGCTGCTGTCAGAAGTAATACTCGCACCACCCAGCCCGCCCCCTCCTCCTCCTCCTCCTCCTCCTCCAAATGTCTCGAATACGCTGAACTCAGCCACACCGCCGTTGTTCGACGTCGACCCCCCCTCCCCGTCCTCCCCCGAGCCCTCCCACCTGGCCATGGGGCCCTTTACTGTCTTGGCTCAGTCCGTGGCTCGGTCGCCCGCCCCTGGGCTCCTCCTCCTCCTCCTCCTCCTCCTCCTCCTCCTCCTCCTCCTCCTCCTCCTCCTCCTCCTCTGCAGGCCTCCAAGCCCCCGCCCGTGGACCCTCTCCCCCGAGCCTCTCCAAGAGCTCGGCCTCCATGTTTTGGCTCGCGGTTCGTCCCTGGGCTCCATGGCACCCCCCCCCACCGATGGGCCGCAGAAGCCATTCTTTTTTCGCTCGTGTCTCGTGTCTGGCCTCCCTGGCCTCCTCCCAGCCCTTGCCGCGGCGCCCTCGTGCCACTTTTAAGGAAAATTGACGGGGGAATCAGAGTAGGATCGAATCGGATTGGGACGCGATGGAACAACACGTGAACAGAAGAAGAGGCAAATGAAGGAGGGAGAACTGAGAAGGGCGCAGAGGGGATCAGGAGAGAGGAGAGCTGAAGACCTCGAGCCTCGAGGACCGGCCGACTCAACCGCCGCAGCCGCCGCCGCCGCCGACGACGACGACGACGACGACGCCGACGACGCCGCCGCCGCCGCCGCCGCCGACGACGACGACGACGACGACGACGACGAGGACGAGCGGCGGCGGCGGCGGCGCCCGGGGGCCGCCCACGCGCGGAACGCCTCGAGGCCCTCACGCGCGGCGGCGGCGGCCCATGGCGGCCGCGGACGCCCCGCCCGGGCGCGCCGCGGGGCGACGCCCCACCCCGGCGGCCGGAGCCGAGGGGAGGGCGCAGAGCCCGGGCCCTGGCCCTAAGATTGACAGGTCCAAGAGGCGATGGCGATCTCTTTGGGACCCGCCCTCACGAGCTGGGAGGGAATCCCAAAGATCGCCACCCCCTCCTGGTCCTCCTTCTCCTCCTGGTCCTCCTCCTCCTCCTCCTCCTCCTCCTCCTCCTCCTCCTCCTCCTCCTCCTCCCCTCCTCCTCTCCCCCTCCTCCTCCTCCTCCTCCTCCTCCTCCTCCTCCTCCTTCCTCCTCCTCCTCCTCCTCCTCCTCCTCCTCCTCCTTCCTCCTCCAACTCCTCCTCCTCTCCTCCCCTCCTCCTCCTCCTCCTTCCTCCTCCTCCTCCTCCTCCTCCTCCTCCTCCTCCTCCTCCTCCTCCTCCTCCTCCTCCTCCTCCTCCTCCTCCTCCTCCTCCTCCTCCCCTCCTCCTCCTCCACCTCCTCCCCCCTCCTCCCTCCACTCCTCCTCCTCCTCCTCCTCCTCATCCTCCTCCTCCTCCTCCTCCTCCTCCTCCTCCTCCTCTCCTCCTCCTCCTCCTCCGCCTCCCCTCCGCCTCCGCCTCCGCCTCCTCCTCCTCCTCCTCCTCCTCCTCCTCCTCCTCCTCCCGCCTCCTCCTCCTCCTCCTCCTCCTCCTCTCCTCCTCTCCTCCTCCTCCTCCTCCTCCTCCTCCTGCTCCTCTCCTCCTCCTCCTCCTCCTCCTCCTCCTCCTCCTCCTCCTCCTCCTCCTCCTCCTCTCCTCCCTCCTCCTCTCCTCCTCCTCCTCCCCCTCCTCCTCTCCTCCTCCTCCTCCTCCTCCTCCTCCTCTCCCTCCTCCTCCTCACTCGCTCCCTCCCGCGGGGGGGGGGGGGAAAGAGGGGAGAGATGGCAAGGGGCAGGGAGGCAGGGAGGCAGGGAGGCTGGCTGGCTGGCGGTCGCTGCGCGATGAAAGTAGGGCTTGCGGGGACAGCAATACCAGAGGGTGGCAAGAAAAAGAGCCCACCTCGGTGCGACCCCATTCGGCACCCGCGGCTACCCCCACCCCGCCCCCTCGGATAGCAAGTGAGATGAGAGGGAATCACCCAACTCCCTGGCTGCCCCGCTGCGCCGGGGAGGGAGGCAGAGGAGAAAGGCGGGGGAGAAGGGCAGGAAGGCAGGAGGAAGAGAAAGGGGTTTTGCTGCTAGAACTAACCTGGCACCACTTTGCCTCAGCCAGCCGTATCTGAAAAATGTGAGCGGGCGGACACACTAAAGAGGTGCATCGCACCCGCTCGCAATTGTCCTGGAGTTTCTCCCCGCAGGCGCCGCACTCCTGCTGCAAGATGGAGAGGAACGCCTCGCCAGGGAGAGCTTCACATCAGAAGGGTGCCTGCATCGGCGCAGGAGGAGATGGGGCAGGAGGAGAAGGAGGAGAGGAGGGGAGCAGGATGTGGTGAGATGAAGTGGGGCAGCGGCCTGAAGCCCATTCAGGGGGGGCCCAGTCAGGCCTCGAATCGGAGGCCTCCAAGGGAGAGGCCTCCTCAAAATCTCGCACCCAGGGCGGTAACGCTCGGGAGCTCCTCCTCCTCCAGACCGACCTCCCTTGGCACGGCGGCTCGGGACCCCGAGCCCTCAAGAGAGCCCACACCGCACCCCGCAGCCCAGCTCCACCCCCGCCGCCGCGCCCTGAGCCGCAGTGCAAGGGGGTGGCCCCTGAGGGTCCACAGTTGGAAGCCAGCCGTACACGCACGTCCTCGGGCACCCCCACGGGGGGGTCGAGGTGAAGGTCCTCCCAGCCTGCCTTGCACGAGGGCCAGCGGCCGCCGCCGACTCGGCGTGGCTGCCCACTCGGGCCCGCGCACGCGTGTTCGCGGACGCACGGCCGAGGGAGGGCCCGGCTGGGCCTATAGACCGAAAAAACAACGCCGGCGCAAGAGAGACACAGAGACAGCCCGTCCTCGTTGCCAGAGCGGGCCGCGGCGCGCGCAAGCAGCAACGGGCGGCCGTTGAAGCCACAGCCGACCTCCCGAAACTGCTCCCAGCCTGCGGCGGGGTCCTGCGAGAAGGCCACGGCGGTGGGCGGGGGCGGTGGGGGGGCGGGCGGTGGGGCCCCCACCCCTCCACCGCCTGCGCGGAGGCTGCAGTGGCCTCGCGCTGGCCCTCCTACTCGGGGGCGCGCAAGCATGGATCAGCGATCCATGGATTCAGCGCGCGGTCGCCAAATCCATGGCCTGGGCGAGGCGCCCTCCCCAAAATGCGGCTGGCGCCGCCTCGCTCGGCGGCGGAAATCCGCGATGTGCCGCGGAAGCGGGACCCGCCACTGATAGACTCCCCCGTGATCCATGTTTGCGATCGCCTGACATACGAAGGAGGAGAAGGAGGAGGAGGAGGAGGCCTGGGTCGGCAGGCACTCCCCCGCCCAAGCGGACAGGTCCCCACTCCACCTCCCCGCCTCTCTGGCCGGCTCGCTCGGGCCGCGCCACGGGCGGCCGTCGTCAGCCGCCACGCCATGACAAGAGGCCCCCTGCTTCGCAAACCCGTCGGCCGCATCATCCCCCTTCCTTCTCCGAGAGGGTCGCGCGGTCACGTAGAACACCTTGCATGCTGCAGTGGGCCCGGGCCGCGGAAGCCCCAGAGCCAAAAGTCGCCCGGGACGGACACCACAAGTGGGCCCGCGGGATACCCGAGGCAGTGCCAGCACCAGGGCCAGCCTGCACAGTCGAGACCGTGCCCTTGCAATCCATGAACAGATCGGAGGGCGGCGTGGCAACAGGCACAGCCCGCTGGCGGTGAAAGCTTCCGCATGTCTCAAGCTCTGGAAAGGAGCCACCTCTGACAGAACTGGGCCGTACGCCGCCGACAGCACATCCCCGAAGCGGTCACACGTCGACGGACCCACCCGCCCTGGAAAGCGGCGTCCCAAGGAACAAACCGAGCAGTCCAGGAACAGGGCCCCTGGGAGGAGGCCTGCACAAGGCCGCTGGTCCCAAAAAGTTGACTGCACATCAGGCGGCGGTGGCTTCAGGAAACTCCCGAGCAGGGGCCTCGGGTCGGCGAAGACACTCCCAGCGAACAGCTCCCTGGATTCAAAACACCCAGCCTTGGCCCGCCTGGCTCTGGCAGCAAGCCAGCGGGACACTCGATCCCTGCGCTAAGCCGCGTGGCCGTCACACGCGTAGCACCGATGCTAGATGGCCCCGTCTGGGTCCCGACAAATTTTGCACTCGGGACTGGCCACCAGGCCATGCTTGTGAAGGCGGACCTGGGACCACCAAACCCCTGACACCAGGTCCCCAAAGGCCCGCTGCTGGTGCTTCGACCAGCTGGCCTGAAGCCCGTGGAGCAACGCCGAGAGGCTGGACCAACAAACCCGCAGCGCCCACGGGCCCGACTGAGCCCTCAAGCACCTCCTATGCAAGTCGCGCCGTCACACCTTACTTCACAGGCTTTTCTTGACGAGGGCAGCGCCCAGACGCTGCAGTGCTGGTATCCACCCCGCCGCCCGAAGGAACCTCTTGCGCAGCCGTGGCATGCCAGCTGATCCCCTGCATGGTGAGAGCGAAGCTGGAGACGCCGCCACCGCCGCCCACGGTCCCGCCCAGTTACTGCACAGTTCCTGGGCCATCTCAAGGGTCTTGAGGAGGAGGAGTGGGAGTGGGAGTGGGAGGGGAAGGGGGAGGAGGAGGAGGAGGAGGAGGAGGAGGAGGAGGAGGAGGAGGAGGAGGACGAGGAGGAGGAAGAGGAGGAGGAGGAGGACGAGGACCGGAGGCGTCGGATCTCCATACCAGCAAGCCGAGCTCCACTGAGGGGCCGCCAAGCCCGCCGAGATAAGCCACGAGCTCACACGAAGCCCATCCTTGTACGA